GGTATAGTCCCAGCATAGTCCTGGCATAATCCCAGCTTAGTCCCAGCATAGTCCTGGCATAATCCCAGCTTAGTCCCAGCATAGTCCTGGCATAATCCCAGCTTAGTCCCGGTATAGTCCCGGCACAGTCCCAGTATAGCCTCGGTATAGTCCCAGCATAGTCCTGGCATAATCCCAGCTTAGTCCCAGCATAGTCCTGGCATAATCCCAGCTTAGTCCCAGCATAGTCCTGGCATAATCCCAGTTTAGTCCTAGCATAGTCCCGGCACAGTCCCAGTATAGCCTCGGCATACTCCCAGCATAGTCCTGGCATAATCCCAGCTTAGTCCCAGCATAGTCCTGGCATAATCCCGGCTTAGTCCCAGCATAGTCCTGGCATAATCCCAGTTTAGTCCCAGCATAGTCCTGGCACAGTCCCAGTATAGCCTCGGCATAGTCCCAGCATAGTCCTGGCATAATCCCAGCATAGCCCAGCATAGTCTCGGCATAGTCCCGGCATAGTCCCGGCATAGTCCCAGCATAGTCTTGGCATAATCCCGGCTTAGTCCCAGCATAGTCCCGGCATAGTCTCGGCATAGTCCCGGCTTAGTCCCAGCATAGTCCCGGCATAATCCCGGCTTAGTCCCAGCATAGTCCTGGCATAATCCCAGCTTAGTCCCAGAATAGTCCTGGCATAATCCCGGTTTAGTCCCAGCATAGTCCTGGCATAATCCCGGCTTAGTCCCAGCATAGTCCTGGCATAATCCCGGCTTAGTCCCAGCATAGTCCTGGCATAATCCCGGCATAGTCCCGGCATAATCCCGGCTTAGTCCCAGCATAGTCCCGGCATAATCCCGGCTTAGTCCCAGCATAGTCCCGGCATAATCCCGGCTTAGTCCCAGCATAGTCCCGGCATAGTCCCGGCTTAGTCCCAGCATAGTCCTGGCATAGTCCCAGCATAGTCCCGGCTTAGTCCCAGCATAGTCCTGGCATAATCCCAGTTTAGTCCCAGCATAGTTCCGGCATAGTCCCAGCTTAGTCCCAGCATAGTCCCGGCATAGTCCCGGCATAGTCCTGGCTTAGTCCCAGCATAGTCCTGGCATAGTCCCGGC